CCTTTTATGTATTAGTTCATAAGCACTATGTTTCAAAAGCACTAAGACATTCTAGAGTCCTTGATTGTTCACTAATCTTTCCATTCATTTATTAAATAAACATTTATTAAGTTCCTATTACATGTCAGATGTTGTGAAAATTCTCATAGTAATAAGAAGATGTATGAGACATAGACATTTTATTTAGTCAAACACTCAACAATGTTTGAGCATCTACTCTGTACACGGTACTAAGGATCAATAAAAGAGTAGTCCAGTTTTAAGACAACACAACAAAAATGAACTCTCAACTCCACTGGCCGTAGCATCTTTCTACTGAGATCATCATGGCACAACTTCTTGATGAATAGGTACTTTTTTTAATGGTCACTCTCTTCACTTTTCCCTTCTACTCCTCAATGCGCAGATGAATTGTGTGTTGTACTTTCCAGTTGAACTTTCAACCCAAATATTCGAGGAAATTGCTCTTACCAAATTGCTTAGCACGTTGCCAAAACCAATGGTCAATTCTCTTCCTATTGTATTTGATGCATCAGCAGCATCCATCATAGTGGACCACGCTCCTCTTGAAACACTTTCTCCAGTTGACTTTTACAATGCCATCCCCTCCTAATTTTCCTCCTGCCACCCACTTCTACTCAGTGTCTTTTGCTGGCCCCTCCTCCTCTTTTCAACCTCTAAATGTTGATATGTCTATTCCAGGATTCAGTCCAGAAACTTTTCCTTTTATCCATGAATATTATTACCCTAGCTTATTTCATCTAGTTCTGCGCCTTTAAAAATTATTCTATGCTTCTCATGTACAAATTGACCTCTCTAGGACTAGCACAAGGGGTGTAATTATCCTAAAGTAACACAGAATTTTAATAAGCTGGCCAAGAAGAGGGATTTTCCTTTTCCCAGCATGAGGGACTGTGCCTAATATAGCTCCCTGTAGAATGGGTGGCTTTCTCCCCTAAGAAAAGGGAAACTCTTTGCATGAGTCCCAAGGACTCTAGGTGCTGGGCAGTTGATTTTCCCAGACAATCTTGTGAATAGCTGGCACATAAATCCAGACTGTTTCACGCCAACAGCCTGTGTTCCTCCCTTGATAAAACTGTGTCCTTGTTCTTACATCATAAAAAGTTATAATAAGGGAGACTAGTGTTCCTACACTGAATGAAGACTCACATTGTTGGCCCAGCAATTTCCTAACAATTTATGCATCAGCATAAGATAAGAGGATGGGAAAATCATGCCGCCTCTTCTTTTGCTAATCAGTAATCTTTGTGAGTTTCCCTAATACAGAATATCATTTAACCCATGATTATCGTATTGAGAAATTCTTTACAAATTCTGATGCCAGTAGGTGGTAACTCAGATGAGCATCACTTTACACAGCATGCTGACCTTCTCTGAGCATGCAGACCATTTCGTTGTCTCAGGATCGCATGTATAAAAGACTGTCTTTTTTTTCCATTGAATTTGCTTTTGTCAAAATCAATTGGTCATACGAATTTAGGCCATTAACTCACACATAAGCAAAAATTCCCTCAACATAGATTATAGGCCTAAATGTAAGGGCTAAACTATACACTTCTTGAAGAAAACAGAAATTAATATATTCATGACATTGGATTAGGCAAAAGCCCAAATTTTCCTGGTAGAAGGAAAAAAGTTGAAAAATGAGACATGATCAAAACTAAAAATGTTTTCATGTTAAGATATCAATAAGAAAGTGAAAAGATAAGCCACTTTTGACTGAAGGAAAAAAATTTAAATCATATATTTGATAAAGGACTTATATCCAGAATGTAAAATGTACTCACAGCTAAACAACAAAAAGATAAATAACCCAATTTTAAAATGAGCAAGATATTTGAATAACCATTTCACCAAAAAGGTGTAGGAATGGCCAATAAAGTACATGAAAAGATGGTCAGCATCATCAGACAGCAGGGAAATGCAAATTATAACAACAATGTGACACCACTTCTTATCCACTAGAATGCTATAATAATAATAATAAAAAAGACAATAACAATTAGAGGAAGTGAAAGCACAATGATGTGGGAAAATTAAAATATTCATGCATTGTTGATGGGACAGGCCACCGTGTTCGAAAACATTTTGGCAGTTCCTTAAAACATTAAAGATGCACTTACCATATGACCCAGCAGTTTTACTCCTGAATACCCCAAAGAAATTAAAATGTATTTCTACACAACACATGACTGTGAATATTTATAGCAGCTTTATCCATAATGCACTTTGGGAGGCCGAGGCGGGCGGTTCATGAGGTCAAGAGATTGAGACCATCCTGGCGGACATGGTGAGACCCTGTCTCTCCTAAAAATACAAAAATTAGCTGGGCATGTGGCATGCACCTGTAGTCCCAGCTACACAGCAGGCTGAGGCAGGAGAATCGCTTGAACCCAGGAGGCAGAGGTTGCAGTGAGCCGAGATTGTGCTACTGCACTCCAGCCTGGTGACAAAGCGACACTCCGTCTCAAAAAAAAAAAAAAGGGGGGGGGAAACACATAAATATCTATCAGTCAATTAACTGATGGCAGCCATCCATACAATTTAATAGAATTTGCCACCTAAAAGGAATGAAATATTGATATGCGCTACAACATAAAGGACCCACATGAGTATGCTAAGCTAAGTGAAAGAAGGCAGATGCAAAAGACCACATATTGCATGATTCCAGTTATATGGTGTCCAGAAAATCAAATCTGTGGAGTCAGGAAGTCATAGGGGCTGCCTAGAGCTGGGGCGTTGGGAATAAGGGGTGGCGACTGATGAGCATGATGGATTTCTTAGGAAAGATAGAAATGTTCCAAAACAGGATCATGGTAATGGTCACACAAGTCTAAAATTTTCCTGAAAACAATTGAACTGTACACTTAAAACAGCGGAATGTTATAATATGTCAATTATACCAGAGTAAAGCTGTTTATAAACAGAAAGTTGGTAGAGTGGCCCCCATCGGCCTTGCTCTTTGTCTTACGGCTCACTTTCCGAAAGAAAGCAAAATATTTATGGGTTTAAAGAAAGCTTACAGTTATTGCTTTTACTCAGAGACTCCAAGAGACACTGGCTGAAATCTAAGAGCCTCCAGAACTCTCAACAGCTGAAGGAACATTCGTTCCCACCCTGAAGGTGATGGGGGTCTGTAAGGTGCACTTCAGCTTCTGATACAGCAGGCAAGGTGTGTGATGCACCTGGATGGTTTCAGATAGCACTCCACAAGTCTCAGCAAGACCCAGGGCCTGTGTCTATTTCTGAGAGCTTCAGAGGACAAGCTGCTACATCTTGCATCACAGGGCCAACCTTTCCTAGGCAAGTATGTTTGAAGCATTGGTAGCCAGGTTCCAAGTAGAAGGTGAATATCTACAACACGGGAGAAAGACAAGACACAGAGTGCGGTGTCAAGCTAAATCATTTGTAGAGTATTACTTCCAACAACTTCAGAAAGCATTCTTTTCAAGTGCTTATGGCATTTTCACCAACATAGACCATATGCTGGACCATAAAACAAATATCAGTATATATCTAAGAATCAAAATCATAGAGTATATGCTCCAGCCACAATAGTATTTAATTAGAAATCCATATAAATAAGATATCTAGAAAATCAATTTTAGAAAACATGCAACATGCTTCTCAGTAACACTTGGGTCAAAGAAGACATCACAAGAAAAAAATCCAAAGCATCAGTGACTGAGTAATCAAAATGTTGGATACAGCTAACATAGTGTTTAGAGAGAATTTTACAACTTTAAATGCCTATAGTGGAAATGAGCAAAGGAGTAAAGTCAATTATCTATGCTTTTATCATAAGAACCCTGAAAAAGAAGAGTAAAATAAACCCAAAGTTAATAAATATAAGCCAATAATAAAAATAGTGAAAACATGAAATGGAAAAATGAACAAACAATAGAGACGATCAGTGGTCAATTTTTCTGTGCTCCATGCACAAAAATTCAGTTCAGAATGATTTTATATTTAAATATATATCCAGAACCACAGAGATCTTAGAATAAAAATTAGGAAAATATAGGAATACAATGGGAACTCTGTGGGAATAAAAATCCGAAAGTAATTGCCCACCAGGTAAATTGGGGGGAGGGCAGGGAATTGACTAAGAACAGGCAGAAAAAAACTTTCTGGAGTGAAGGAAATGGCTTATATCTTCTTTTTGGTGGTACTTACATGGACATATATAACTGTCAAGGTTCATTGACACTGAACACTTAAGTGTGTACACTGAACACTTAAGATCTGGGCCTTGTAATGCATGTAAACTACATCTCTATTTTTTTAAGTAGAGAAAGGTGTCTTGGGGGGTTTATGGCAGTGGTGTTTGGGCAGACTGGGGCATAGGTTTCAGAAGCATTCACAGCATCTTCAGTTCAACAATTTGCTAAGAATGTTTTTGCAGCCAAAAATATAAGATAAGTGCAAATATCTATGATTAGAGTCATTGGGCATGCCATATAATTAATTCGTTATCACTAGATACCTTTCCTTCAATGAGGTTCTTCCATTAGGAACTCAGAGCTCTCCAGAGAAAAATTGCAATTGAGGTTTGGATATATTGGGTGGAAAAGAAAGTCACCTCACATAAAACTTAGTGATTGGAGCTGTCACAGTTGTAAATTTCTAAACTTTGCAAGACAGCAGCAACATTTCAAATGACATTCTGAGAGAGGCGATAATGGGCTAACGTAGATGTCCCTCCAGGTGGAATTACTGCACAAGGACAATTACATTGCCCTTGGTGACATCTCCCAGTTTGGTTTAAGTTCACAGATTGCGGATCCCAGACAGCTGGTATCAACTGACCAGTGTTCTGTTAAGGCGAAACCCAAGACTCTTTATCACACTGTGGCCTTAAGATTGGATTTCTCTTCCTGTTCCTGGGAAGAATTAGAGATATAACCTAAAGGTCACTATTATTCTGAGAAAAGGGATCCTGGAGGAGGAGGGAGCAATGAGTATGTGGCAGGAGTTCAAGGTGACAAAGGCTGAGCCAGAAGCCACAGAGCATAAAGCTCCAGTCCTTCCTCCAGGGATGAGGCAATGAGGACTCCGACTCCTCTGTCCGGTTTTTAACAATCTAACTTACGGTTAGAGCTTTTTCCTTTTCTTTCAACTACTCCTGGCAGTAGTGGGGTCATGGAATTTTTGTAAAAAATGGGGTGGAGGAAAATAAGGCATCTGTGTGAGTGTATAACCATTTTACCTCTGTTTTTAGCCCTCTTCTGGGTCACACTAGAATCAGATCTGCTCCCCAGCATCTTCTGTTTCCTGGCGAGTGATTCCTGCTACCTTGGATTGGCCATGACGGGCTGGAGCTGCCTTGTGACAGGAGCAGGAGGGTTTCTGGGTCAGAGGATCGTCCGCCTCTTGGTGGAGGAGAAGGAGCTGAAGGAGATCAGGGTCTTGGACAAGGCCTTCAGACCAGAACTGAGGGAGGAATTTTCCAGTAAGTAACCTTGAGTCATGGATCTGTGGCTCCATCTTAAACTCCGCACGGGTGTGGGGAGGTGGACCTTGTCTAACAAGTTAAGGAAAGTTGTAGCCAAATGAAAGCCAATCGCACATCTAAAGTCATCAGAAAGGAAACAGTATAAAATGGTATAGTGTGAAAGATACTGGATAGGGTGTCCAGAGACTGGATTCTGGCCCTGACCCAGAACTTGAGGGGCAGCCATGTCAGCCTCAAGGCCTCTTTTCTTCTCTTCTCGAAAATCACACATGAGTTCTCTTTCTTGTCTACAACTCTTATATTCTGAAGCTTTTTGTCTTGGCAATTGCTGTGCAACATTCACAAAGGGCACCATTTACCTGGAGACCTCACCAGTGGGTCCCTGCCTCTCTAGACTGCCCCAGGCTTTGTTTCATTTTATAACTTCTTTAGCATCTTTAGTGAAGGCAAAACAAAAGGAAGTGAAGGTACAGATGTGTGTGTAAGTGGATGTGTGTGTAAGTGGATGTGTGTGTCAAAGAGAGAAAGAAAATGAGGGGGAAAGCAAATCAGAGACAGAGAATGAGAAAGAGAATGAATGAGAAAGGTAGTGTGAGGGAGAGAGAGCATCAGCAAGAGAGAGAGAGCGAGAGTGAGAGAGATCATCAGTGAGAGAGAGAAAGAGAGAAAGAGAGCGTGCACAGGTGCACGACACAGAGCAGAGACAGAGTAAGAGGCAGTATGAGGCCAGCATGCCTCATTGATATTTCTCATATATAGCTTTTTTTTTAAACCATTTGTCTCTGTTGCTCAATACCCCAAAGAAATTGACTGCAGATTTTGCTGTAGTAACTCTTTGTGCAAATAATCCTGTGAGGAAGGTAGAAAAGGGGTCACCTCCAACTGGACAATGAACCCATCAAGTTCTGGAAATATAAAGTAACTTGCCAAAAACAGCTAATTAATGTGTAGCAGAGCTCAGACCGGAGCTTCATTCCAGAGGCTTCATCACTTGACCCTGGGGCTAATCCTTGGCAAAGTAGGTTTTCAGTCTCTCCCTTTGCCTCTCTGTGTGCCCCAAACCAATTCCCTGTCCTCCTTCCAGATGTTTGCTCTTTCCCAATAAACTGCTACACATTCTGATTTCTGTGCTTTTGTTTACTTGTTCCTTTTATGGAATGTACACCCTCCACTCTAACACCCCCACTCTAACCGTCTATCCAGGGGACTGGGTGAACTATGTGTCTTCATGCAGGTTCTGGCTGCCTAGAAGGTCCTTCCCTGTTCACACAGAAGCTGCCCTTGACACTCTATTCTTCTTTCACTCTTCCCTGACCTCTTCAAATGTCCAGTTTCCACCACTCTCTGTTCTAATGGTGTCTTTGAAAAACAAATATTAACCAATGACAAATATTAAATGTTTGTACTCCTTATGTCTCAGCAATATTTGCAATCTAACATCTGATACCAGGAAAAAGCAATGCTCAGCCTAGAGGAACAGTTTTCCTATGGTGAAAATGCAGGGGATATAATGGATGGGCAGAGGTCTGTATGAAGATAAAAACAGAGAATCCTTTCAGTGTTCTTTCTGTGCCCAGGCACTGTGCTAAACGTTTTGTATGTGCAGACTCATTACTCCTCATAACAACCCTATGAGATCAGTAATATTATTATCCTCCTTTTTTATAGGTGAGGAGACAGGCACAGAGAGGTTAACCAACTTGTCCAAGGTCCTACAGTTAGATTATGGCGAAGCTGGATTTGAACCCAGGCAGTCTAGTGCAGCGTCGGTGCCCTTAAGCAGTAGTTTGTCTAGCAGCTTCTCTGAGCCTCCCTCCAGCCCAACACACACCACAAAAGCAACTGCATTTAGTCTACATGAAACGCTTGCCAAGTCCACAGTGCCTTGGAGAAGGAGGGAGCTACGGCTCCATCAAAAAAGTTCCCTTTTCTGGTCTCTCTAGATCCCTGGGGACTCACTGGGGAAGAGTCATTTTCTATCAGCTTTGGACTTCTTCCGCTTTGAGATGGTAATTCCTTTGAGCCAGTCTGTCTAAAGTCGGCAGTAAAGGAGAAGCAGAGAAAGGGAGTAGAAAAGGTAGAGGTGGAAATACAACCAGAGAAAATTCCAGTCTCGGGCTCACATCCACCTCCTTCCCAGCAGCCTCTTCCCTGACTCCACCATTGCAGGGCCTTCTTGGAGTTGCCTGACAGTGGGAAGGGGCTGGGAGTAGACGAAACAAGGCAGAAGCATCAGGACAGCAAATGGTCCTGCCTGTACCCCAGGAAGGAATTTCTCCAGCCTATAATTTTTCATTCCGAATTTTGTTCTCACTGTTCTTTGACCTTTGTTGGCAATTTCAGTTAAACTGGCTTATTCTTACTCTCTCAGAAAAGTTGATTCTAAACAGCTATTCCGGCACCTGGGTTACAGGGTCTAAAAATGGCAGGTGGGATGGGCAGATTTGAGCCTTCACTAGAAAATTGACTTTAGATCTGTCCCTTAACCTCTCTGAGCCTAAGTTTCCTCACCAATAAAGTAGGACTCAGAATAGCTACCTCACGAGATAGCTGTAAAAGGAAAGAAGCAAGCTGTGGGCTGTATGCAGATTATAAAGCACAAATGAGAGTAGAGTATTTATCTGAGCTCCATGTAGCATGGTGTTCATTTTGGGGCTAATTCCAGGTGACAACTTTACTGGCAGCGTTACTGCCTGGAGATTTCAGAGGAGCCTGAAGATATGGATGTTATATCTGCTGCCCTTGGCTAGACACTAGACAGCTGAGATGTTAGTTCATCAGTGGCTAACTCATTTTCCGCATTGCTATCTGCTTTTTATGATAACTGATAAAAATTTCTCAATGAAATTCATCATTTAAGCCCATCTGCAGTTCCTGAGTAATGGCTCCACTCTCCTCCCAATTGCCCAAGCAGGAAACCATAGGGGTGATTTTGTCTCCTTTTCCTCTCAGCCCAGATCCAGTAGGTACCAGGACCTTCAAGGTAAGGTCTGAAATTCAAACCTGGTGTATCTCTCCCCTCCTCTGCTTCCACTGCTGGACCCTGCCTCCAGCCCTCATCTAAACTTTGGCACAGACATTCTGATTAATCTCTTGATCACCTGGATTTCTCATATACCCTATACCAGTCCGTTTTATATCCTCAAGTCAAGGTAAACTTCCTATGCCACCACTCTGCGTCTGTTTCTCTTGTATTATTATTATTATTAATATTTTGAGACAGGGTCTTTCTGTGCCACCGAGTCTGGTGTGCAGTGGCATGATCTCAATTCACTGCAACCTCTGCCTCCCGGACTCCATCCATCCTCCCGCTTCAGGTTTGTGATTACCTGGGACTATAGGCATGTGCCATCATGCCAGGCTAATTTTTGTAATTTTAGTAAAGACAGAGTTTTGCCACGTTTTGCAACCTGACCCCCACCTCCAGAAATCAAGTGATTCACCACCTCAGAGTCCCAAAGAGCTGGAATTACAGGCATGAGCCACTGCGCCCAGCCTGTTTCTCTACTGATTCCAACATAAATAAGGGTTTTTCTTTGACATGGTGCTGGAGACCCAAAATCATAATTCTATACATGATTCCTCATTACCTACAGAATTAAATTCAAACTTTCCCTCTTATACCCAACTCTCCACAATCACTCTATTCTCCATAAAAAATTTGGTGAGTCTCCCATGACTCTAGCAATGCTTATATTCCAGGGACGTGTGACAATTCACTTCTCACATTACTTTTCTGGAATAAGATGGGGTAGAAACAGATGTTTGCTCTTTCCCAATAAACTGCTACACATGCTGATTTCTGTGCTTTTGTTTGCTTGTTCCTTTTATGGAATGTACACCCTCCACTCTAACACCCCCACTCTAACCATCCTTGAACACCTATGAAACATCACCTTTATCAGAAAACTTCCCAAACAGATCCAGAAAGCTTTCCAATGACCTGACCTGTGTTCACACAGAGCTCCAGAATAAGACCAAGCTGACTGTACTGGAAGGAGACATTCTGGATGAGCCATTCCTGAAGAGAGCCTGCCAGGACGTCTCGGTCGTCATCCACACCGCCTGTATCATTGATGTCTTTGGTGTCACTCACAGAGAGTCCATCATGAACGTCAATGTGAAAGGTATGGTAGCCTGGGGAGGAGATAAAGCAAGTTGGTTAAATGAGGTTCAGAAAGAAGGACAAGAAAGGGAAGAGAAGTCACTCCATTGAACACCTGCTGAGCTCTGGGCCAAGTGCCTTTGCTGATCACTACTGACTGGGGAGTTCAAGGCTGGTATCCTCAGTTTTTTAGATGAGAAAACTAGGGCTGAGAGACAGCAAGTAACTTTTCCAAGGCCCCACAGTTAAGTAAGTAAGTAGGAGCGTTAGACTTTAAAGTCACTCTTGTGTGACTCCAAAGGCTGTGGAAGCTCTTTCTACTGTGGCCCCAATCAAAAGTCAACTAAACTCCAACTTCAAACTCATGATATCCAGCTACTCCTTGGCTCCCTGGGCCAGAATCAGACCTTCCAGGTGCCACCGTAGTCATCATTTTGAACCTTGTGTGCAGGCTGATGAGAACATTCAGAGCCCTCCTGCCCACCTCAAAGAAGAAGTCCTCTCGAGAGAACTAGCGAAGCTGGTTCACAGAGGTCTGTCAGGACAGAATTATCCAGCACATGCCTTCCCACAATATTTTCTTAACAATAAGAGTTTCCCAGTATCAAGAATACAATCTCTTCAGCTCAGCACAGGGCCTACTATTACAGAGCCATTTCCAGCCAGGTGCCCAAAGTGCACCCTCATTTGATCCACATTTTTTTAAGGAATCTTGCCATGCAGTCTCACCCTCTGACTCCCAGAGCCCAGTTCTCTTCAAACCACAGCACCCCACCGCTGGCCTGGCCCTCCACATTCAGTCTACTCAAATTCTTATAAAGCAACTAATTGCTTTTGAGTCTCCAGCACTACCTAAAAAAAAAAAAAAAAAACCCTTACCAGTTTCTACATAGCCACACCCCTAAGTACCACTACAGTTCAAGGAGTGTGCTAAGAGTAAAGAGTTTTTTGTTTTAATGTTGACTTTCCACAGCTCCCAAAAACAGGGGATAAGAAATGACAGGGGGAGTGTTAGAGGCATCTGTTTCTTAAAACCATTATCACTCCCAGGCTTAGAAAATGCTTCACAATGATGGCCATTTCATGAGGCTGTCTCTCCAGAAAATCAAATTGCACAGAGACTTTAAAAATGGCTAAGAATACAAAAATAAGTAAATAAAAAATGATCATTTGCCTAGGAAATCTCTTCCTTCTTCAAGGGAAAGCACTCCAGATACCTCCATGAGCTTTGCTTCCACACAGCTCAGGGCACGCTGACAGGTCCTCCCAGTGCAGGTGTTACCAGAAGAGGGCACACTCCTCTCCACAGTCCTCCACCAGGCTCCACAGCAAACGCCAGGGCAGGGTTTAAAGGAAGGTTTATCACCCCCACTTTACATAACTGGGTAAACAGAGTCATCGCCAGAATTGGAAGCTGCTTTCCCAGGGAACGCACAATCAGGAAAAAGAGTGTGGGTTTCCAGCATCTCCCCACAACCCACTCTTTGCTCAATGACTCCAGAGATGGTCTTTGTAACAAAGTTTTATTAATCCATTGCAAAATGAGAAAAATACCATCAATTCTATGTATATCTAAGAATGTATATTGCCTATATTCAACTGTGAGTTTGTGTGTGTAATGCAAATTCTTTCAATGTCCTTTCTTGCCTAAGGACTGACTGGGACTGTTCATATTCTCAGAGTATAGTCTCCTGATTTTTAGACTTTAAATGATCTGTCTTTAATTTTATTGATGACAAATCATACTTTTTCAATATTCTTACTTGGCAAAATATAAAGTGATTACCCTAGGTCCTTTTCCAAAATTAAAGTATATATATATATGCGTATATATATATATATATATATATATATACACACACACACACACCCCACACAAACATAGGTCTATGAAACCCAAAAGTTTAGAAATTCTTGCTTTCTAGAACCCAAATGTCAGTTTCTTTTTATTTTTGTGTTTTTCCTATGGCTGTATCATGACCCAATCTCAGTCAGAGCCACAGAAGAATGCACCCTGAGTCTGTTATAACCACTGCACTTGGGAGCGGGGAGTGGGGCACATGGATCTGTGCACGTGGTTGCAGCTTCTTTGGGATATTTCCTGACACTGACATCATGCTCTTCCTGGGCAGGTACCCAGCTCCTGTTGGAGGCCTGTGTCCAAGCCAGTGTGCCAGTCTTCATCTACACCAGTACCCTAGAGGTAGCCGGGCCCAACTCCTACAAGGAAATCATCCAGAATGGCCATGAAGAAGAGCCTCTGGAGAACACATGGCCTGCTCCATACCCATACAGCAAAAAGCTTGCTGAGAAGGCTGTGCTGGCAGCCAATGGGTGGACTCTGAAAAATGGTGGCACCTTGTACACTTGTGCCTTAAGACCCATGTATATCTATGGGGAAGGAGGCCCATTCCTTTCTGCCAGTATAAATGAGGCCCTGAACAACAATGGGATCCTGTCAAGTGTTGGCAAGTTCTCCACTGTCAACCCAGTCTATGTTGGCAACGTGGCCTGGGCTCACATTCTGGCCTTGAGGGCCCTGCGGGACCCCAAGAAGGCCCCAAGTGTCCAAGGACAGTTCTATTACATCTCAGATGACACACCTCACCAAAGCTATGATAACCTTAATTACATCCTGAGCAAAGAGTTTGGCCTCTGCCTTGATTCCAGATGGAGCCTTCCTTTAGCCCTGATGTACTGGATTGGCTTCCTGCTGGAAGTAGTGAGCTTCCTACTCAGCCCAGTTTACTCCTATCAACCGCCCTTCAACCGCCACACGGTGACATTGTCAAATAGCGTGTTCACCTTCTCTTATAAGAAGGCTCAGCGAGATCTGGCGTATAAGCCGCTCTACAGCTGGGAGGAAGCCAAGCAGAAAACTGTGGAGTGGGTTGGTTCCCTTGTGGACCGGCACAAGGAGACCCTGAAGTCCAAGACTCAGTGATTTAAGGATGACAGAGATGTGCATGTGGGTGTTGATAGGAGATGTCATCAAGCTCCACCCTCCTGGCTTCATACAGAAGGTGACAAGGGCACAAGCCCAGGTCCTGCTGCCTCCCTTTCACACAATGCCCAACTTATTGTCTTCTTCATGTCATCAAAATCTGCACAGTCACTGGCCCAACCAGAAGCTTTCTGTCCTAATCATACGCCAGAGGACAGACAATATGATTTGCTGTTACCCAATCTCAGTGGCTGATTCTGAATGACTGTGGTCACTTTTAACTTGAGGTTCTCTTTTGACTAATGGAGCTAATTGAGCTCCATTTCCCCTCTTAAATGAGAAAGCATTTCTTTTCTCTTTAATCTCCTATTACTTCACACAGTTCAATGTAAAGAGCAATAAATGTTTTAATGCTTAACCTGGAGAGAGGCATGGTTTCTGTTAATACATACTTTCATCCTTTTCCTTTCATTTGCAACTATCACCGTCTCCAACTTAGAAGAGTAGCATGAAACCGGGGATGCGGAGTGGGCAGAGTAGTGGGAGGTACAGAAAGGGCAGATGAATACTGAATAAGCTCTACTATGTTTTAGGCATGTATGAAATGACCTACATATGACTTATATTATCTCATTTAATACTCATCAGAAACCTGTCAATTGAGGAAAATGACAAGTCTCAATCATTTTAGGAGATTTATTTGAAGATGTGCCCAGGAGACAGGCCTATTCCTTTCTCCAAAGATGATTTGGAGGGCTCCAATTCAAAGGGGGAAAAGAGAGGGATATTGAGAAGCACACAGTTTTTATGTAAGGGGATAGTAGGAAAAAAATAGGCATTCATGCCTTCGGCTCAGTGAATCTGCATTGTTTACATAAGATGACATGAACAGTAGGGGCAGAGGGAAAATGCAGGGAATCTGCATTGTACACAGACAAGATGGGGTAGGGGAACAATCAGATAGGCATTCATGTCTGGGGTAACTGCACCTGTAGTGATAAGCTATCAATTTGCATTGCTGTGGTGAAGTTTTAACAGCTCACTAGGAAATTCCTTGTGGGCAAAATATGGGTGAAGCGTGTAGCTTTTTATCTTGTAGCCATCTTATTTAGGCACCAAAAGGGATAGGCAGGTTTGCATTACCCAGTTCCCAGCTTGATTTTTCCCTTTGGCTAAATGAGTTTGGGGTCCCATAATTTAATTTTTTTTTCACATTTTCCCCCTTTTTTTCTCTAAACTCTTTCAAAGTATTGCATTTTGAAAGAAATATGCGTTCCTGGCCTCTGGTTGCTTTTTCTTTTTCTTTTTTTTTTTTTTTTTTTTTTTTTTTTTTTTTTGCTGGTTTCTCATGGCTAGGATGGTTTATTCCTAGAAGTTCAGGTCCCACATCACTAGGAAGGCTCGTTCCTGGGAGGTTATGTCTCACCTTGCTAGGAAGGCTTATTCCTGGGAAGTCTTGTCCCATGAAGATACAAAAAAAAAAAAAAAAAAAAAAAATGGAAGAAGGGAACATGAGAGGAAACCAGAAAGAGAGAGAGAGAGAAAAAAAAGAAAATACATAGGGACATAGGCCAGATTTACAGCAACAAAAGGAAAGCAAACCTGGAAGCTGGGTCGGAGTATATCACTGCCTCCTCAATTAGAGCAATTCTTTAGGCCTTTTAGTTGCATGTTGACTTATATGTAAGCACATACCACAACAACATTGTAAGCAAAAACAGGATGGAACACAAATTATTACTATTATTCCTATTATAAACAATAGTTTCTACCACCGTGTTCCCCAGGATCCAAGCCAACCACTCAACCAATCGATTAGTGAGGGTTTTGGATCTGACATGTTGGTTACCTGGGTTTTCATATCAGTCATATGTTGCATTATGTTCTTTGATTCATCTGGAATATACACACAACATTTAGTTTTTATGATGACACAGGTCCCCTCTTGTGCTGTCATGAGTATCTAAAGTCATGATTTTGCAGCACAGCTTTCCTCATAAGCATAACCTCATTGTTTAGCAAGGGGATACACATGCAGCTATCATTCAGGGCCTTTTGGGTGTAATTCATAAAGGCCTCTCTATGCCATATAACATCTTCAATACCTATCTGTGGTATAAAGATTGAAGCTAAATGATCATGCCATTGGAATACTGAACACATCCAATGAGAGTGTAAATGAAAAAGGTTTGCTGGTTTTGGCAGGGTCTGAATTACTTGTCCTTGTGCCCAAGCATAACCTCGGGAACATCATCCCAACCACCTTGGAGGTAACTATGGCCATAAGTTAGTGCCACATAGCCAATATGTCCCATTTGGAGCTAGCCAATAAATATCTGGTTGCTGCACCCAATTGTTGGCATGCCAGTCAGCGTCTTATAATATGATAATGTGGTCTCAATGTTCTCCAGGTATCCACCCCATATCTCTCGTACTGTTTTGTTAAGTTGGCCAACAAATGGGTGAGCCATATAAATCCATCCCAAATTTGTATTATTCCATTCTGAAAATGGGTCATTGTTTGAGGCATGGTTACCACCTTCTCTTTTAGTTTGGGAGATGCTAAAGTGAGAGCAAATGAGCTGGTCTTTTCCACTGAAAAACTTTTCCTATGTCCCTCACTCTTAAGAGTGTTTTTAATGGGCCAACTATATATATATAGTATTTTGTTATGGTAGCACTAAGAATACCAGACTGTTTCTGTGATGCAATACATTTTTGGTATTGTATCTAGTCCTGACCTTGGAAGGGGGATACTCACCATGGCAGGCCAGAGCCACTGGAGAGAGGCATGAGCCCACATATCCAGCAGGTGTCCTTCTGTAATCTGTCTGCATAATCCTGAGCCTATTGTAGAAATAGGTTTGTTTCATGGGCATCAGTAGCAAGAAGACGTAGGGATATATAATTAATAATAGCAAGGTTGTGAAATTCATTTTAGTTACTAACAGATGTTAGTTAAATTAGACAAAAGCAAGTGCCCTGTTCTGCATAAGACAGTAGTTGCCAGTATATCTAGGACAATCATTGTAATGGTTATTGTACAATGAACATAGACATTTCTTTGTATACAGGCCTGGTCCTGTATCTTGGGTTTAAGCAGTCCACAATAGCTGTCATCTGCTTCTAATTTTGGGTTGAAGGTCAATGTTTAGTGAACTGGAGGTGAAGGTCTTTGGTGGAAGTTACAGTCCGCTCAGGAGATTGTGCCTTTTTAAAATGAGTGATGTGAATCCAAAAGTCTATACCCTCTAATTTTGTGGCACATGGATTAGTCAATAGTACCTGGTATGGGCCCTTCCATCAGGGTTGAAAGGAATTATTTATTAGATGTCTTTTCCAATAGACAAAATTTCTGAGTTGCAGATTGTGACCAGGCATCTTATCTTCAGGGAGCACACTATGAAAGGAATTCCTTACCAAATCTTGGCATTTTTTAAGGTGGATGAAAAAAAGTCCCTCACAATATTGCAATCTATCTCCCTTGAGAAAAGTTGGATTCGTTATGTTTGTTCCCGTACACATGAGCCTTCCCACTATAAATTCTTAAGGGGACAATTGATGTTTTCCAAAAGGGGCTGATCAGAGTGTAAGCAGGAGTGCTTTGGACCAGGGGAGGAAAAATGCTTCTGTGAACTTAGCGGATTGGGTTTTAATTATTCCATTGGTCCTTTCCACCAGGCCTGAGGATTGGGGATGGTAGGCACAATGGAAATGTTGAAATATGGGCCAAATTTTACAAATGCTTTGAATAACCTGGCCAGTAAAGTGAGTTCCCCTGTCATTGTGAAGTTCACCAGGGACTCCCCACAGTGGGATACTTTTTTCTAGTAGGATTTTTCCAACTGCCATGGCTGTTGCTTGCCTGCAGGGAAAAGATTCAACCCAATGGGAAAACATGCAGACTATTACTAAAACATACCTGTAACCTTGAGATGATGGCAGCTGGATAAAATCAAGGTGCCATACGTCAAGAGGTCCAGTGAGAAAGGAAAAATGACCCTGGGCCCCATGGAGGGGCTTTCGTGGGTTACATTTGGGACAAATAACAAGAGTAAACTTTTTGTGCCACTGTGAAGGATGGTTTCCAGTAATATTGTTTACATTAGGATATTATTTTATCTGGATTCCAATGGCTTAGATTATGAACATATTCCATAAGGGGCACCTGACATCCAATTAGAATAGTGGATTTATTATTAGGTCCACATCATATTTCCGTTTTGGGAGACAAGTATTCCCCTGCCTGTTTCCAAGTAGATTTCTCTCTTGTAGGAGCTATGCTCTGGGTTTCTTTCAACATGTTTCTAAGTGTTTTGGGGTTTTATGGCCATTTCTTGTACTGGGGCTTGTGGCTTGGATGCTGCTCTTTTAGCTGTAGTGTCAGCCAGTTGGTTACCTGACTTTCTGTGGCGTCTAATTTTGAGTGACCTGGGATTTTTATAATTGCCAAACATTTGGGTTTTAAAATAGCTTCTAACAGCTCTCATAATTGGTGTCCATTATTTTATGGGTTTTCCTGAGGAGGTTCAATATCCTCTCTCTTTCCATAGCATCCCAAAGTCATGAGCAACCCCAAAAGCATAGTGGCTGTCAGTGTAAATGTTTGCAGCCTTGTCTTTTGCCAATTGACAAACTTGGATCAGGGAAATCAATTCGGCCACTTGAGCTGATCTGGCTTGGGGAAGAAGACTGGCTTCAATTACCTCTGCTACGGAAACCACAGCATATCCTCCTCTAAAATTTCCTTCCTCCCCTCTTAAATAACACCCATCTGTATCTGATTCTATCTCAGTATTATCCAGTGGGGTCTCTTATAAGTCTGTTCTGGGGGTGAGAAGTTGGTCAATCATCAGAACATAGTCATTAGGGGTTTTATTGGAAGAGCCTGTCAAGGAAGTGGTTGCATTCAGATTATTACAGAGGGAAATAGTAATATTGGGAAATGATAAAAGCAAAATTTCATAAGAGGCTAACCAGTTGACAGATGTTGAGTATGATGAGAGTTGAGAAGGGTCTTAAGAGAATGTGGCACAAAAATGGTAATGGGGGAACCCATAATTATTTCTTCAACAGAGTTGTACAGAAGGGCCATGGCTGCTATTGCTCTCACACAGGAGGCAGCCCTCAAGCCACAGGGTCCAGCTATTGGCTATAATAGCCTATAGGTCTCTGATGATCACCATGTTTCTGGGATCAGTATCCTGCATGCAGTACCTCCAGTTTCGTGTACGAAAAGGGAGAAAGGCAATAGTTTGGGTATCCTAATGCTGGGGCATTAGTTAGAATTTCCTTTATTTGTTGTACAGCTGATTGTCCCTCTGAAGTCCACATGATGGGATCAGGTTGTTCATTTTTTAGGTATGCATACAGAGGTTACGCCATAAGGGAGAAATTTGGTATCCAGTTTCTACAACAGGTTGG